ATCTCAGCATCGATTGAGAAATCCTTGACCAGTAGTTTTCAAAGTAAGGTCTGAAGAGCTACTCTATCCAAACCAACTGGGTGCCCTTGGCTGACTCAGATCCAGAATGGCACTGATGGGCTTGAATCCCAAATGCCCTCAGGCAATTCTGTGGTGTGGGCATAGCATGTAGTTGGCTGCTCTGGGCTCTCCACAGTAGGTTCTTCACCTTCTCCGTACTTCCAATCATTAATAGTATCAGTCACCACCCCATCAATATACTGCTGCTTTACAGGGAAAAGAAGCTATCGAAAGCTGAGCGTGGTGGCTCACACCTTTAATCCCAGCACCCGGGAGGCAGAGGCAGGTGGATCTCTGTGAGTTCGAGGCCAGCCTGGTCTACAAGAGCTAGTTCCAGGACAGGCTCCAAAGCCCAAAGCTACACAAAAACCTGTCAAAACCCTGTCTCGAAAAAACAAACAAATAAACAAACAAACAAAAAAAACAAAGAAGAAGAAGAAGCTATCAAAAGAAAAAAGCTCCTTAGATTCCTGTTATCCATGTGCCCTGTGGTGTCCGTTCTTTCTCTCATCTGTATAGAAAACATGTAATCTCTCCATCTGATTCTGATGATGTGGTCTAAATTCATCTCTCATCTTGCTCCATCTTCTTAAGATTTTCTGAACCTGTTATCCCATCCCATCTTCAGCCTCGCCCTGTGTCTATCTGCATTTAAACACTAACTTCTCTTCAAAGGAATGCCTGTCGCTCCTTTTCTGCTCACTTTCCTGATGTCACCACTACCTTCCCACACACTCCCACTTGGGTTTCACCGAGGCCACTCTCTCTGCATCTGCCTAAGATGACTCCGCTGTTAAATCCCACGGGTCTTCCATTCCTATCGCTTTATTCTCCATTCCCTCTGACACTGCTGCTTAGTCCTTCTTTTTTGTTTTCGTTTTAGAAATTTAGAAAGGGTCTCACCTTGCAGCCTTGGCCTCAAACTCAAGAGAACCTGCCTGCCTCCGCTTCTGAGTGCTTGAATTAAACACATCCAGTGTCTATTCCTTTTTAAAACCCTTCTTTTCTTGCTCTCTTTCACACTTAAGTCTTGAACAGAGAGTTCGAGAGACTCTCTCAGGCCTCTTTACCTCTTGCTGTTGTACCCACACCAAGATTGTTATCTATTCAAGCTCCTGTAGCTATAAACCATGAACAGAGAATTCCCGCATACACGTTCCTCGGCCACCCTTACTCTGATCTCCAACATCTATCACCAACCACAGAGAGGGCATTTCCACATAGATGCCTCACTAGTACCTCAAGTACCTCCTAAGCTATACAATCCAAGTTAACCTGCCAGGCTCTGCTTAACCTCTTTCCCAGGTGCATGACGACATTTGCTGTCACATGACTAAAAGTTCAAGGGCTATCCTTGGCCTCTCCTTCCCAGCCTCCCCTCCCTTAAACTTCCATTGTTAATGGCTCCCTCTGTTTCCTAGCCAGATTTCAGCCACAGCTTCCCAACTGACTTGGCCGCATTTCTGCTTCCTTCCAATCCACAGTGTCTCACACCATGGAGGAAAAAAATAAATTTACAGTATAGTTTGGTTGCAAATTAGGTTCCTGGCTTCCAGACCATCAAGGCAAAAGTAAAGGGAAAGTAATTTTCATATTTCTTGATATTTGGTCCAGCACTAATACCATGCTCTAAATAAACTACTCAGATTTATGCAGGAAGCAATAATGGCACAATATTCAATGACCTCTACACTATTCCTATGACATAGTCTAGCATTTTTCTTTTTTTTTTTTGTTTTGTTTTGTTTTGTTTTTTCGAGACAAGGTTTCTCTGTGGTTTTGGAGTCTGTCCTGGAACTAGCTCTTGTAGACCAGGTCTAGCATTTTTCTAAATCAGTATTTAACAAGTACTCACAATGAATCAGACATCTGCCCACCACCGAAAACAAAGCAGCAAATGCGTGTGTGTGTGTGTGTGTGTGTGTGTGTGTGTTTTAAGTTCATGGCTAACACGCAATTTCAAATAATATTAAGTGCAACTCTCATGAAAATTTGCTTGGGGGAACAGCTTGCTTCTCAAACCAGCCCTCCCTTGTAGTAAAACTAGGGTCAAAATAACCATTCTCAGAGCCCTCCTGGGTCCGTCCCCAGGGCATGGTTTCCGGATTTCAGGACTTTTCACCTTCTTTTCTGTTACAGCCTACCACCACTACAGTACAGTCCAGTGCACAGTGCACTCTAAATATTGACAGGCCTCCTGGGTGCTGGCAAACTGCTTTTAGCTCCTCCACATGGAATCTGCCATTCGCCAGCCTCACCTACTGTAGCTTCCTACCAAGACCTGCCATTGACGCCTCTCACCCTCCCCCACTGTCCAGATGGCACTACTATTGCTTGTTCAGGCCAAAGGTGGCCATGACGCTTACCTAGGCAGTGCCAACAAAGCCAGAGAGCAGGGTGTGGACTAGGATTGCGTTGTCTACCACGGCAGGAAGTAGGGCAGCCAGCTATCTGTTATTCTTAAAAAACGATTCCCGGGTGGGTTGGCGGAGCCGGCCATGAGAAAGCGGCTACAGGAGGGCACGCTTCCTTGGCCCACGGTGGCGGCAGGTAACAGACACGTAAACACAGGAAATAGCCATAAGTATTTACTAAGGAAGAGGGAGAAAGAAAGACAGAGAAAAGAGATAAAAGAAGAGAAAAGAGATAAAAGAAGAGAGAGACAGAGAAAACGCGTGCGCACGCCAAGGAAGCAGAAAGAGGAAGGGTCCCAAGATGGCGACGGGCAGGTCAGAGGTTATTGGAGTGGGCGTGGCTAGGGCAGGGACCTAAAGAATAACACTATCAATCTTCCGTTACCTTGCAGGCTCTCCAGCTGCCCATCCCCGGGACCTGTCTGTACTGAAACCATTCCTCGTTTCCCTCACGCGTCTAAAAGCCACGTTCCTCATGCGGTTGGAAGTTACACTGCACTGCTCAGGTTCCAAGGCGTTTTCTGATAATGCTGAAAGATTTAGTTTGTCTGGTGCTGTGATTTGGATCTAAGTGTTCCCCCAAAGTTCATGTACCGAAGGTTCAGTGTCTGATTACAGCAGTGCAGTGACCAGAGGTGGGTCCCTTAGGGTGACTCTACCACAAAGGGTCCAACCTACTTACTTTGACTGGCTACTGGGAAGTGGTGGACACATGAGGTAAGCCCCAATTGACGGAAATGGATCTGAGCTAGAACAGAAGGACAAGGAAAATTATGGGGACACAAGAAGAACCAGGAACCCCTCACCCAGAGTCTGGTGGAAAACTGTCGCCAACTGTGAAGCAGGAATTCCAACAAAATTCTCATTTGCTTAAGGCCATTCTCCCTTCCCAGTCTACACTCTTCTAAGATTCTTCCAAGAAATCCAAGCGGCTCCTAGGTTTACCTATCAGACTAATCCGCCCAAGGCACCCAAGATTTAAGTTTCCTAGCAACCTTTTCAGATGGTTCTTGAGAGGCACTAAAGCTGTCCATGTGGCAACTGCTAAGACACTTCACCGCGACTCTCTACTGGGAAGCCCAGACCCACGCTTGGCTGTGGGCTTCTTATTCTGTCAGAATCTTTTTGCCTAAACTCTGTGCAAAATGGTTTCTAATCTGCTGAGGCGATTCTGTAAGAAGCCCACAGCCATCCATGTTCCAAGGTTTGGTCTTTGTGCTTTGCTCCTTCTTTCTTTGCTCTTCTTTCTATTAGTAACAGACTTCAAATCTGTTTCTAACTGGTTTGCTTTGAAACTGACTTCTGAGTTGAAGTAAAGAATACTGTGCCCGAGTTAAAAGATTAGAATGTCTCAGGATATTAACAGAGCCCACACAGGGCAGCCAGTCCTCCCTGCCTCCCCTGACAAGACTCTGGTAGCTGTGGGGGGCCAGCCGTGAAGAACTCAGTCGGGGCAGGTCACAGAGGAAGCTCTTTACTTCCAACCATTATCACCTGGGGCTTTGGCCAGCGATGAATTTAAATAAGAGGCTCAGTAGTTTACCCTGAAGCAATACCTGGTAGCAGGAAAACACCACAAGCTGAGATTACCCAACCCCCACCCAAGAGCGGACCATTCAAAGGAAATGCCTGACATTCCAACCGCTGTAAGCACACCTCACCAGGACACCCCTAGACAAATGTCAGCCCATCAGGGGTCCTGAACCTCAGAGACCCCTCACCCCCACCTTCACTACTATAAAAACCCAATTGTAATTTTGAGCTCGGGGCTCTCCGGATATTCCAATACGTTGGACTTGCGGAGAGACCGAGTTTGCAAACTTGATTAAAATAAAGGCTCTTTGCTTTTACATATGGGACTCGGTCTCTTTTGTTGGCTTTTGTGGGGACTCCGCAAATTTGGGCATAACAGTAGCTCTAACCTAAAGCAACCTTCCTTCCTTGCTCCCACGCTCCCGCGCTAAAGCTTTGCGCATGCTCGGAGAGTGCTCTACCGATGAAGTACATCCCCAGCTCAAAACGGGAAAAGGTAGCTTCACAAATAATAAAAAAAATAACAACAAAAATAATAATAATAATAATAATAATAATAATAATAATAATAATAATAACGCAGCAGATAGGTGTCTTAGATCTTGGCTTTAGCAGTCCTGCTTTGAGGACTTCAGGGAATTCTTCCACATCCAAACTACGCTCCCGCCCCCCCAAAACCTAACCCAGCTTCCTCTCACCCTTATTTCCTTCCCAGGCAAACCAGCAAGGGGGAAAAAAAAAGTTCCCATTAATTGCCTGGGGCCCTTAGGCTGCCTTAGCCTAGATTGGCCCAGTGGAGTGGAGGCTGGAGGGGGGTGGGTGGAGGGGCAAGACTTTCAGCTCAGGGGGCGGCCGGCCGAACTGCCGTCCCTAAGGGCCTTCGGCCGCGCACAGCATTGTGGATGTTGTAGTTCTTACAGGCTGAGTTTCCACATCGGACGAAGTCTCCGGACTCACTTTCCCGTGCTCCTGTGCCGCTGACTTAGATGGGGCAGGTCCTAGGCAGGGCAATAAATTGCACGGGCGCTTAGTTATAATATGTGGGCTTCTGCTGTTGTAGCCTCCCTTCCACCTGCTTTGAAATACAAGTTTCAGGTCTTTGCTGAGTCTGCAGCAGGAGCTGCCGGCGTCGCCTGGACTTAAACTACCAGGCAGTCTTTCTGCTCCCTCCCATTTCTCCCCACCAGGGTCCCGCCCCTCGGGCCAGAGTGTCGCCGGGTCGCCGCGCTGGAGTCGCTTGTTCTGCAGGCTGGTTGGTGCTTGCCTTCCAGTCCCTGTGAACTTGGGGGAGGCTGCTGAGCACCCGTACCTGCTGAAGCCTCAGCTTCCAGAGCCTCCAGCATGCGCGTGTGGGCCCCCGTGGGCGTCCTGGCCTCGTTGGCTTACTGTTTCCACCAGCGGCGGGTGGCTCTGGCCGAGCATCGGGTACCTGATGGCCAGTGTCCAGTGGACCGCAGCCTACTGGAGCTGAAAATGGTGCAGGTTGTGTTTCGACACGGGGCACGGAGTCCGCTCAAGCCGCTCCCGCTGGAGGAACAGGTGAGAGACGACGTACCTTAAGATTCCCCCCACCCCCAACCCCCGGCGCAGAGAGGCTTGGGCTGGGTTCAGAACAGAGGAAAACAGCAATAAACGGGCTGTGGCCCGGAGCCCTTTTCCCCATCCTCATCCCCCCCCCCCCACACACACACACACACTCCACCAGTCTGTAAGCCTCCCTAGCTAGGGCAGCTCCCCCAAACTTTCAGTTTCAAGGTGTAATATAACTTTTAAAAGATGCATAGGCACCGCCCAGGGCATCTTATTTTAAAGGCAGAGTCTAATTAGGCGGACGTGGAGTTGGGTCGCATTTAGCAGTTCTGTGTTTTGGTGAGCTTAAGTTCAAGGGTGCAGCGGACCTTGTTAGTGGCTCTATCGCTGGTTGTTAGTTGCAGAGACCTTTGTACCAGGAGTCACCCTAAGTGTTATCACAGCGCAGAACAGGCTGGTGCCTTTGGGACCGGATCTTATTACAGATTTTCTCGTGGCTTGCTGGAGCCCGTTTGAGATCTCATGAAGTCTTTTTGGTGACGAGGACCTTATCTTGGGGTTCTTTACGTTTTAGGTTTAGAAATCTGAATTAGCCAGGATAATTATGATTAAAACACAAGTAATTCGCTTCCTGTTTTAAAAATGATCGCCTGTCAGGTGAAAAAGAATAGGACACCAGAAGTCCTCGAGGCCCCACGTGTTGGATTTACCCTTGGAATGTGTATTTCTTCTATATTCTTCATAATCATATCTGAATGCTGAAATGCTATGAATTTTATCTTCGTATCATGCAACCTAAGGTCCTGTCTTTAAAGAGGGTCACAGGTGAAAAAAAATCAACCCTCCAGGTGACTTTCACTTAAAGACATTTTAGCAGGCTCTTAACTTTATGGCTACACCACTTTCTGTCTGGTACTGCAATTTTCATTTTGCTTCTTTGATTCCCCACCTCCTCCACGTAGGGCCTTTAAAATTAGATCTCTAAAGTTATTTTATTATTATTATTTTGTCCACACATGCTTCATCTCTTTGTACCCCTATTCTTCTCTATTTCTTCTTATTATAGAGTGTTAGGAAGATATATTGATGTTTTAGATACCGTTATCCGTGACAGCAGAGAATAAAGTTTGTCTGTCTAGATCTGAACCCAGTGTATACAGACTGTGCAAGTACCTATCTAGATGAAACTGCACGTGTGGATTCTAGCATAGAATGGCTTCGTTGACATGCTTTGACGAGGTGTTACCATTCTATGTTGAGGGAACTGGAAGAAACAATCCCACTCAATTCATTACTGGAAAGACAGTCATTGCATTACTCCAGCCTCATTTTGAACTGAAAAAAAAAAAAAGAAATCTTTCAGGTGTGTGTGTGTGTGTGTGTGTGTGTGTGTGTGTGTGTGTGTGTACATACCGGTGGTTTTGTGATGGGAATCTTACACCTTTATGGTGGAGATACTGAGAATCCCGGCTTCGTTATCTTTACTTTCTTTCCTGTTTTGTTTTTCAAGACAGGGTTTCTCTGTGTAACAGCCTTAGCTGTCCTGGAACTCACTCTGTAGACCAGGCTGGCCTTGAACTCACAGAGATCTGCCTGCCTCTGCCTCCCGAGTACTGGGATTAAAGACATGCTCCACCAGTTCCCGGCTCATTATCTTTTCTTTATATAGTTACAGAAGGTGGAGTGTAATTTCACGGCCTTGCTTTGCAGTTTGAGAACTGTTGCTTTAACTTCCCACTCATGCACTGCAGACTTAGGCTGATATTTTGATTTTTTTAAACATGATTGGTGGGAGGGGGAGGATGAGCACGCGTGTACACACAGGTGCCTGAGAAGCCAGAAGAAGCCACATCTGGAACTGTAGCTAGAGGTGGTTATGAGCCACGTGGTATGGGTGCTGAGAACAGACTTCAGTCCTCAAAGCAAGCACTCTTGGCGGCTAAGTTGTCTCTCCAGCCCTAGGTAGAAGCTTTAACCATGTCTGGTTTTATTGGATAAGGTTCTGTACCTAAAAGCCGGGGGGTGCAACCAACTCTTTGGCTATGCGTAGTTGTCATCAGCCTCCTGTGACTTGATTCGGGATATCTTCTCTCGAGTCTTTTCAATATCCATGATTATTGATATTTCTGGCCTTATTTTATTCTGGTGTGGTTGCCAGAACAGACTACATGGCAACAATTACAAAACTAAGATTATGTTTGCTGCATTTTCTAGTTTCTGCTGGTTTACCATCATTTCAGCTTTCCCACAAGCCCTTACAAAGTGCCATTGTTTAAGAGGAGACAGTGTGCTGACTTGTTTTCTTAAGGATTGGGGAACAATTGTTCTGTACTGCCTAAAGATTTGGAAATAAAATTATGGAACTCGCTGAACATATTTCTTTTCTTTTTTTTTTTTTAAAGATTTATTTATTATGTACAGTGTTCGGCCTCCATGCCTGCAGGTCAGAAGAGGGCACCAGATCTCATTACAGATGGTTGTGAGCCACCATGTGGTTGCTGGGAATTGAACTCAGGACCTCTAGTAGAGCTGTCAGTGCTCTTAACCTCTGAGCCATCTCTCCAGCCCTGAACATATTTCTGACCTTCCAACTCTTGGCTCTGCTTTCAACTTTTCCCTGGCTTCCTCCAGACAGTGGCAAGGGAACCCCCTTAACTTTTATAACATAAGTGTAGCCCACCCTAATTCCTCGCTAAGTTCTTGTCTGTGTTTGACAGTATAGATGAGCCGGGAAGTATACTATGTTGCTTAACTCCTGCCTAAAGCTCAGTGGAGAGAAGTGTTTATGAACTGTGTGCAAGTTCATTCATTCCTCTGGGTTGATGATGGTTCTAAACCCTGGCAGGTTATTGAATTCCGCTGGGGTAGTATTCATGCCCAGGAAGTTCTGGAAGTTAAGAGCACTTCCTTCTGTGGTAGAGGACTCTGGCTTAGTTCCCGGCACCTGCATGGCTGTTCAAAATTGTATGTCCAGCTCCAGGAGCACCGCAGCACTCTGGGCTCTGTGGGCACAAGGCACACATGTGGTGCTCAAATGCACAAGCAGGCAAAACACACACACAGTATGCATGCCTGAGTCTTCCTGCAGATCTTGATTTAATTGGTGCAGTGTGTCCAGACACTGTAAGAGCTTCTCTTCTCTGGTGCTTAGGATTATCTGGGCTCAATAGCGCTGAGAAGTGGAGACCCCACCCCAAAAATATCCAGATGTGATTGGCCCAGAAGGAGGCTCAGACATCAGCAACTTAAAAATTCCTTGTGATGCCTCGAGCATAACCAAGGTTTAAAACCCATTGCTTTTTCCTAAAATCTTCACCTGGAAGGTTTTGGTGTATTTTTCTGTACCTTTTTCTTTTCCTTGGGCTGTGTCCTGTCCATCCCACTGTGGAATCGCCTTCCCCGGGTATGCTGTGGTGTTGAGGGAGCAGGGAGAAACCGACCACAGAACTCACTCACCGCTGTGACAGCTGGAAAGACATCCATCACATCCCACTGTCCTCTTTATGAGACCCCGTGGGAAGAATGTGTCTGTTAGCTTTAGGGGTGCTGTACTTCTCCCAGCTGTTGTCTTGCCTGAATCTTTAACCTTGTCTTGCGGTGTTCTAAAAGCGGACAGTTTAGTCCGGCATCTGCAGCCCCCCACAATCAGCCTGCGAGGCTTGCAGGACCCGTACTGCTGTGTCTGTTTCTGTCCCTACACTTGCTTGTAGTCTTCCCTGCTTACTTTGAATTAGTTGTTTTCAATTATATTTTAGGTTTTGCTATCATCTAATTTTCTTAAGATTTTTTTTTCTTTTAGTTTATGTGTCTGTTTGATTGCCTTCGTGTGTGTCTGTGCACCGCAAGATTGCCTGGTGACTGAGGAGGCCAGAGAGCATTAAATCCCCTTAGTCAGCACACTGTCTCCTCTTAAACAATGGTACTTTGTAAGGGCTTGTGGGAAAGCTGAAATGATGGTAAGAAGTTAGAAAATTAGATGGCAGAAATTAGAAAACGCAGCAAATGTAATCTTAGTTTTGTAATTGTTGCCACGTAGTCTGTTCTGGCAATAATAGCAGAATAGGTTGTAAGCCTCCATGTAGATGCCGGGGAATCCTTGACTTCTGGAAGGTCACTAAGTGTCCTTAGCCACTGACCCATCTCTCCAGACCCCTAACTCTCTCTTTAAAGATGATATGTATATATGTATATGTATATATGAAGTAAAATTATCAAGTTAGTCTCTCCCCCACTCCCATCCTCTGAAACAGGCTCTGGCTTTGAAGCCTAGATTGGCCTGGAACTCAGTTCTGTAGCTCATGTTGGCCTTGGACTCAAGGCTGTCTGGCCGCAGCATCCTTTCACCATGCTCAACTGGTTTGAGTTCGTCTTTACCTCCTAGAAACTGAACAGGGATAAGGATAAGTGTGTGGTAATGGAGGTGGGTAGCGTCTATGAATGGGTATATCATCCATGCATGAAAATCTGATCGTGTGCTTAGACTCCGCATGGCCTGAACACCAGGATTGTTGCTGGGACACACCAAGCGTCCTCTGTGCTCAGAGGTGAACCTGAGTGGACCTCGGGGCCTGTGTCCCAGGTTCTGTGCCCCACACTGGACTTAACCAACACGGAGGCTTAGTCTCAGCTCCAAAAGAATTGGCAAAGGAGAAAGCTGAAACAGCCAGATCTGACTCACCGGGATGTGCTGAGAGTCCCCAGAGCACACAGGGGTTGCTCACCCTAACCTGACCCCTGACCTTTCCTGCTTTCCTGCTCTGTCTTGGTTTTAGACAGGGTGTTTGCAGTAGCCACACAAGCTCGAAACCAAAGCCATATTCGTCCTTTTTCTTCCTGTTTGCCTCCCAGCCCCGCCCCCCCCAATCAGAGCTTGTATCTGCCCACTTCCTCTGTTCCTGCTGCCTTAGATGCAAACTTCTGGGTCTCTCTGACATGTTAAAACCAGTTCTTCCGTGTCAGTGGTAACTGTGACGTGCAGCACTGGCATTCGGACCACTCTGTGGAGCCATGCACCCGTCTCACTGCTGCCGGCGTGCCGGGTGGCTGGGACTCTGGGCTCCTGCTCCTACTTCTGTCGGAAAAGCTGCAATTTTCGCCTTTATCTCCTGTTCTGAGGTTCACCTCCTACAAGCCCAGGTGTTTGCGTCTCTGCATCCCTGGCAAATGTCATTCCTTTTGCAACTTTGACTCTGCAGCCCGAAGAGCCGCGCCGGCCTTTGAGCTGTGGCAGCTGTGTTTGGCATCTTAGAAGACAGACCTGCCCCTGCTGTGCCGTGGCTGTCATGTATATTCATGGCTGGCTTCCTCTCTGAAAACCCAGGAAAGGCCAGATCAGGTTACCTGCCATTGGGTGTCTTGCGTGGGCTCTGGGAGCTGATAATAGCATCCAGACTCGTAACCCAGGGGATGACTCAGTTCCTCTTCTCCAGAAGCTGTCTATGGAACAGGACAGACTGGTAAAGGCACTTGCCTGGTGCAGTTTGGTGAAGGCTTTGAAAGAGCCAGAGAAACTTGTATAAGCACAGGGCCCTGGCCACAGCTTCTTGGTTATGTGCTGTGGGTGGGAGTTTGCTTCAAGGACTGGGATATGAAGGAGTCAGAGGTTTGAGTTTTAGAGTGTGTGATTGGGTTCACATTGAGAGAATCGGTAGGCTGGGAAGGGGAGCTCGAGTATGGACTAGAGCATCCATTTTCAACCTGGGGGTCGAACGACCATCTCACAGGGGTCGCCTAAGACCATCAGAAAACACAGATATTTACATTACAGTCCATAACAGTAGCAAAATTATAGTTATGATGTAGCAATGAAAACAATTTTGTGGTTGGGGTCACAACACGAGGAATGTATTGAAGGGTCGCGGTGTTAGGAAGATGGAGACCGGAAGACCATCACAGCTGACTCCACAGAGATAACAGTCGCATGGGTCAGCTGAGGTGAGAGACCTGTGTTGCTCTGAAAACTCGTCCAGTTCAGGCAGGAGCCAGGTTATGAGGACTGAAGGAAGACGAGGAGAAAAAACAGAGGTGTCTGAAGATGGCAGCCACTTGTTTCAGAAACAGAGAAGAGAACCAGAATTAGGCAGTAGTAACACTGGGCTTTCCGCGGAGTCCTAAGTGTGGCTGTGGGGCATGGAAACCACACTCGATTCTTTAGAGGTTGTTACTAACATGCCAGTCCCTGGGATCGTGTTTCATTCATTCATTCAAGGACCCACTCACTCATTCCCTCACTTGGGCACCAAGCGGCTGCATGCCAAACAGCTGGCTGCTTCTCCCTTTCAGTCGAATGGGCTTAGCGGGACAGCAGCGCTGTGAGTCTCAGTGTGTCTCAGAGAAGACCTGAGCTGAAGACACCAGGGATAACAAACCGTGGTCCTTTCTTCCTTTAGTCGGAGGTGCAGGCTCCTTCCCTTGCTTTCCCCGGGGAGGTTGCAGGCCTAGTGTCAGGTGACTCCAGTCACGTCATCCCAAAACCATGGGTGTTAGGGCTACAGTTTCAAGAACTTTCTTTTAACTCTATGCCTTTTTTTTTTAATGGCCACACCAGGTGGAGTGGAACCCCAAGCTTTTAGAGATACCACCTCAAACGCAGTTTGATATCACCGTCACCGATCTAGCTGGCGGCCCGAAACCTCATTCTCCTTATGACTCTGAATATCAAAAGACCACCTTGAAGGTAAGTGACGCCTCCCTGCTCTGTGAAGCCCACTGCAGAGCCGTGGGGACTTTCTCTGAGTTGAGCTGTGCCTTCATCTGACCAATCTTCCCTTTCTTTCTCTGTGCCCCACTTAAGGGCGGCGTGTTTGCTGGGCAGCTGACCAAGGTGGGCATGCAGCAGATGTTTGACCTGGGAGAGAGGCTGAGGAAGAACTATGTGGAAGATGTCCCCTTCCTTTCTCCTGTCTTCAACCCGCAAGAGGTCTTGTGAGTCCTAGATAACGAGATAGATACGCACTTGCGCGGTCTCGCATGCATAAGCTGTCCTGACCCCTGCTCTCATCCACGATGGTTTGGGGGACAAATTGCTACCGTGCACTTACCCTTATGTCGTAGGCTGCCGTGGGCGAGTATCACTGAAGGTCACAGTCAGGGCCCTGGGAGCAGCCAGGCTGTAGGGAGGAAAGGTTTCTGTCCCATGGTGTCCTGTGTGTGGTTCTGAGAGGTTCACACCTGCTCCATCCCCAGCCATTCTGCGTTCCCATGTGAGCATCTCTGCCTCTGCATGTTCATTTTCCTCCCAGTGTCCGCTCCACCAACATATTCCGGAATCTGGAGTCTACTCGGTGTTTGCTGGCTGGGCTTTTCCAACATCAGAAAGGTTCGTATTTGGGCCGAAAAGTCACCCCTGTGCCAGAGGAGCTCTTCTCGTCGCCAATGCATTTTCCCTTCCTCCGCGCCTTTTCTCTCCATCCCCTGTGTACATGACTTCCAGTTGTTCATGTTGCAAGGGGTCCTTACCAACCTGACCTCCGCAGTGAGCAGGAACTGGGTGCACCTCTGCCTCCTGACTCCTTGGGCTTCCACGTAAGCTGCAGAGGTCATTCTGTCCAGGCTTGTGGGCAGTAGTGAGGCACTACTGAGAAAGAGGGAAAGGGCCACTACTACTGTCGTGGCTCTGATCTTAATGATAACCCCCAGCCCAGTGTAGGTTGTGTCTGCCGTGTTCTATGAAGCCTTTCTTCATTGAGAAGGTTGTTGAGTTTGAGTCTTAACGCATTTAATCGGCGAATGATTGCAGTCGTCAATTCCAGAACTTTCCATCTGGGAGGGGTGCATTTCTTCATTCCTTTCTGGATCCCATGTGAGACCTATGTTAGCCACCGGCACATTGATGTGGCCAGACCTCCTGGCTTGTGCTGTCAGAGAGAGGGGAGGCTGCCATGGCAGGAAGGTGTGCCTGCAGAAGCAGGACAACAGTATGAGGTGGTGAGTACGCACATTGTGACAGGCCAGGACACATGCCGAGCCAGAGGCAGGTGTAGCCTGCAGAGGCCTGCCTCCACGCATCTAACCAGCCGGGCCCCACTTTGTTAATGCTCTGCAGGTCCCCACACCTCACCTCTCCTCTAGGGAACAAGTGTTCAGAATCACAGGATCCTGTGCTTCAAACCACAGCTGCAGATTCAAACCCTAACAGGGCCTTGGGCCACCGAAGGAGGCGAGCTTTTGTCTTTTGTAATTGTTTCAAGTCCATATGGAAGCACTCCTTTGAATTTCAGATAATCTTCTCCTAACTGGTACACTCTAACAGGTATTAGGGTACTAATCGCTGCTACGTAGCAAAAATTGTTGTTCTGTTGCTTCTAGAAGTATCTTGAATGGAAATAAAGTTTCTGTCAAACTTTAAAGGACAGTAGGACCATCAGGCCAGAGGAGGTTGCCCTTACCCGTCTACTGGTTTGGGGGTTGCTACTCACCCTGGCTGAAGCCGGCCACCTCACACACTGTGTGTCTAGGAAGCCAAGCAAACAGGGCAGGCTGCTCCGTTGTCAACCCTCAGGCTTGGAAATGATCCACAAGGCCTGGCCTTCCGAAAGTTCCTCCCTTGCTCACCTTCGAAAAGGCAAATGTCCCCTTCCCGGAAACAGTCAGTGTGACTCAGGAGGAGGCTCCTTATTCTCCACAGGCAGGTTGCAGGCTAAGGATGCCCCAGGTTCTAGCAGGGAGGGAACAGCTACCTCGGGATAGTGACTCCCCGAATGACAGGAAGCCCAGTGGGACTTCCCTCGGAGATAATCTGTGCCTTTCTCAGTACCTAGAACAGCAGAGACAGTACAACTTCAGAATGGCTTTAGGAGGGAAGCCCTGGGGTGCCTGAGACGGCCGGGTGGGAGCTAGAGGGTAGCGGACTATACAGGAAGCCGGAGAGCGTCCATCTTCCCATTTGTCAGTCGTTAAATGTAGATTGTCTGCTCAGGTGTGCCTTGCTTCCCATTAGCTACGTCCTGATATCTTGCCATCAGGAGCAGACTGCGGACGGACGTGGGTTCGTGGTTATGCTAAAGGTTTCCATCATGGTTATTGTCCTGACACATAAACATTGTCCTAAGAACTCGGCACATATTGTGGGGCAGACACCATCAGCTCCTTTTACAGATAAGAGAAGGAATGCAGAGAGAGGCTGAGTAGCTTGCCCAGTAGCCCGGATCTGCAGATGGTATAGGTGGGGTTAAAGTCCAGCTGTCCATGTTTGTCCCCTTCGTCAGCTGCATCTTTGAGGATGTGCAACATCTAAAACGTCTAGGGCGGGGTCTTTGATAATTTTGTCTGGTCTTTGTTTTTAAATTTACTTCTGTGTGTTTCTGTGCTCCATGCATGCGTGGAGACAGACGATAATGTGTACACGTCCTTTCTCCTTCCGTGATGTGGGTTCGGAGGACTGAACTCGGGGGGGTCAGGTTTGGTGGCAAGTGTGTGTGTGTGTGTGTGTGTGTGTGTGTGTGTGTGTGTGTGAGTGATAGTCTCATGGAGCTCAGACTGACCTCAAACTTAGTGTATAGTGGAGGCTGGTCTTGAGTAGCTAGTCCTTCTGCCTTTACTCCCGTACCACCGTGCCCAACCTTACCTGTTCCTTTCTACAAGCCCCCAGAATCCTGCAGAGATGTCCCAGGGACTACAAGAAATAAGGATGCTAAAACACGTACCTGGGCTTTGCTTTGAGCCCCCATGCTGTGGGCGCTAACACGTTTCTTTTTATGCTGTGTGGGAATGAGTGGGTGGTGGTGGTGGTGAAGGGTGTTCTGTTGCTTTGGAAATCCAAGAGTCCCTCTGCTTTGATTCCCTTTGGGTTCTGAGCTGAGCAGATAGCCTTGTGATAGGTCACCCTATTGGCCTATGGAAGTGAATTGCGGGAAACAGGAAAATAACCCAATTCTGATTAAGTCAAGCCAGCCGGTCTGTATTGGAATGCCCACACATGCTGGTCCTGGTTGTGTCTTGGGAATGAGTTGGAAGCTTTGGTCTGATCCAGGTCTGCGGCCCAGTGGGAGGGCGTATGCTAAACAGAACAAAGCTGCTCCTTTATCCAGGGCTTGGAGGAGAACTGTGGGCAGAATCAGCGCAGGAACTGCACCTAAAAATGACCACTTAGATCAGCTCTGTAGACAAAGAGATGGGGAAGGCAGAAGCGGTCCTGGAATTGGGAGCTGAGGCCCCCTACCACTGGTGTTTCCTTCCTCCTTCCAGGATCGGTCGTCATCCACACCGATGAGGCGAGCTCTGAAGCCCTGTACCCCAACTATCAGAACTGCTGGGGCCTGAGAGAGAAGACCAGGTAACAGGCTTTTCTTGTTCTTGCTAGCATCTGCCATTGCTCAGGCATTTCTGGGGTACACTGAAACTATTCCAGAGTAGAAAGAATGGGGTTCCCACACAGATCTGAGTTATGCATGGGTTTTAGTAAAATAGGTAGAAACAAAAGAAGAGGATTTGGAAAATTTAGTCTTTTATTCTAGCCCTAATTCTTGCTGATTTATGTTTACAAGTCATTTAACTTCTTAGAGCCCTAATTGTCTTGTCTGTAAAATGGGAATAATATTGCTAGCCACACTAGGTTGTTGTAAGGATTACATGAGATCGTAAACGCTGAACAAAGTACATTTTATAAATTACTAATCTCTGTACAGTAGTAATATAAGAGCTTGTGGGTTTTGGCAGAAGCCGGAAGAAGACTGCCAATTTGCAGCCAGGGATCTCCGAGGATTTGGAAAAGGTGAAGGCAGGTGTGGGTATCAGCAGTGGTGACAAAGTGGACTTCTTTCTACTCCTGGACAATGTGGCTGCCGAGCAGGTGGGATAGCTGTTTCCCCTGGGAACCATGGGAATGAGGTGATTAGAGCTTCCTGGGAGCCCTCCCGTCTACAGGCTGCTGTAATAGAATAGGATCTGCATGTAGGATGGATGTGGGGATCGAAGGGCCCAAGACACCCAAGGAGGGACTGGAACAGTCAGATGATTCCTCACCCAGGGTCAGGACATTACCTGACCTGTGTGTGTTTGGGAGAGTGGGCTTCCGGTGGGCTAAGTAGCGAGTACAGTAAAGAATATCCATACCATTTTTCTATGTGTATATACTCACCTGTGTGGGCGCCAGAGGACAACCTCAGATGTCCTTCTGCAGCGCACATACACCTTGGTTTTTGAGATAGTCTCTAACTGATCTAGTCAGATATGCTAGGCTGCCCGGGAAACCCCTGTCTCTCTACCACCCAGGACTGCAATTGTTAGCTTGTGCCATCACAGCCGGTTCAGGGGGTCAAACTCGGGTCCTCAAGCTTACATGGCAACCACCTTAGCGATCTGCCCTCCCAACTCAAGCTTTGCTTCTTTTGAGACAGTGTCTGAATATGTGTAGTATCTAAGAATTGCCTCCAGCTCTTCCTCTCTGAGTGCTGGGGTTACAGGTGGGTGCCACCCGCCAGGCTCTACTTGACAGTTTTACATTTAGCATTTCTTAGGGTCCAAAACTTTAGGGACCCGTCTTTACTGTGTCACTTTTGAAGGGGCCCGTATGAGTATCCGCATATTTTAAAATCTAAGTTGGCATGGTCCACATATCTATATTATATTCTTATAATCCCAGCATTTAAGATGCTGAGGCAGGAGGATCGAAAGTGGAAAGCTAACCTGGTCTACATAGTGCAGTCCTGCCTAGAATATATGTGTATGTGTATATGTATTAATATATTTATGTTTGAGTCTTGGGCTGGTGACGTGGCTCAGTGGGTAAAGATGCTCGCCTCCAAGCCCAGACAACCTGCATTTGGTTCCCAGAAACCTCAGAGCCGATGCTCACAAGCTGTTCTCAAACTTTTGCATGCTCAGTGGAGCAGTGCATCCCTCTACCCCGGCACTCACACACACATCGGTCAATGTAAAATTTTAAGATGTCTGTAAAGTAATCTGGTTAGCCCGTTAGTCTGTTTTCCTCAAATTGATTTAACCATAGAATCTTTTTATGGACTCAAAATATATTGTATGTATTACATTTTATGAATGCATATAACATTTTGTGTAATGTGTACATATTATTAAAAAGCATTGAAATTTATATTACATATCATGCAATAATAGCACCACGCAGGGAACCCTTCTGTGGATTGAAAGACCAGATGCCCAAAGACAATGCAGGGTCTTTTTCCTTGTCTTATGACAATAACGATGCCTCCCAGGCATCCCTGTGCCTCTGGTTTATGTATAGTGAGTTTAAGGTTATATGGCAAAGGTTCATAAAAAGCATTTATATGGCATTACAGTTTCTAAAATCATTTTAGGGAAACAACAACCAAATGAAATGTTTTAATTCCTTGACTTATAGTTTATTCTTTTTTAAAAGTTAAAAATTGTTAGTTTTCAAACTTGGAGTGCATGGGAGCCATCATGGGGTGTGAAGCTTTCTTTACAATCCTGTGCCTGTATGGGGCTGGAGGGATGGCTCAATGGTTAAGAGCACTGGCTGCTTTTCCAGAGGACCCGGGTTCAATTCCCAATGACAGCCCACAGCTGTCTGTAACTCCAGTTCCAGGGCATCTGCATCTTCACACAGACCTACATGTAGGCAAAACACCAATGCACATAAAATAAAAATAAATAAATCTTTTAAAAAATCTATGCCTTATAGATCTTAATTAATACAAAGGTGTAAGGGTCTTGGGGACTTAACTGGTACCCTTTGTAGGCAGGGAGTGTTTTCCTGTGACACTGCTGGTGATCCTTACAGGTGCACAGCCTCTGCAGCTGCCCAGCGCTGAAGAGGTTTGCCCAGATGATCGAGCAGAGAGCTGTGGACACGGCCTTGTACGTGCTGCAGCAGGAAGACAGGTGAGAGACCACAGGTGAGGGCTCTCCTTAAGTCATACCTGGTCAGTGTGTGTGTGTGTGGGGGGGGGGTTCATCAGGCCCCTTCACACCTGCCAGCTGGCATCAACGTGGAAAGAGGCCTTTGCTCTCACTTCTGAGCTGGGGCTAGTGACCTGGACCTCCACTTCTGGGCTAGCCTACCCCAGGCCTCTGCTCTCACTTCTGAGCCGGGGGTAGTGACCTGGGCCTCCACTTCTGGGCTAGCCTACCCCAGGCCTCTGCTCTCACTTCTGAGCCGGGGATAGTGACCTGGTCCTCCACTTCTGGGCTAGCCTACCCCAGGCCTCTGCTCTCACTTCTGGGCTAGCCTACCCCAGGCCTCTGCTCTCACTTCTGGGCTAGCCTACCCCAGGCCTCTGCTCTCACTTCTGGGCTAGCCTACCCCAGGCCTCTGCTCTCACTTCTGGGCTAGCCTACCCCAGGCCTCTGCCCCCACTTCTGAGCCGGGGCTGCTGACCTGGACCTCCACGTCTGAGTCTTATACTCTTCCCTTTGCTTCACATTTCACAAGATCGAGTGGCGTGAGTGGAAGGTGGGATCACTGCCCTGCAGTCTGTTGACCACAGCTCAGTTAACAGATGTTCCCTGTTCTCCCCAGGTGTGAGGTGTTGCTTAGTCTTGTTGCTTTCACAGGTGAAGGAACTAGACAGAATCCACAAAGCCGTGCTTGGTCCCTAGCTTGAGAGGAAGAGCTAGACCGAGAGGGCTGGTTATTGTTGTTATGGGCTCCTTTGGCAGGTGGCACAGCTAGGACTTGGTCCCAGATCCTCTGACCCGTTTGCTGCTGTGTCTTGTTGGTACTTGAGATTCTGTTCTGGAATGCCCACTGCTTCTTTTTTTTCTTTTTCTTTTTTCCTTTTTCTTCTGATTAAGAGCATTCAGTTTGCACTAAGAATAGGTGACTTGGAAGCATTTAACGTAAAGGGAACGGATAATCTGGGGCTGTGCTGGGGGAGGGGAACAGTTAACTGTTCAAGAATTTGCAGTGTCTGCTGCGTGAGACAAGAGCCCCTGGTTGCTTTGGCTTGGAGTCAGCATGCCCATCTGTGCAGCAGCCTTGGGCTTCCCGCAGTTCTCCAGCCAAGCCACTCAGCTGCCACTCCCTGGGACTCAACAGCTTCCAGGTTTTGTTCGTGAAGTGGCCCCGCCAGACCTAAACGGCCGCTCACTGCCCTCCCTTCTGCCAGTCCACGCGTAAACATACGTGGCAAATACCCCAGGCTCCGTGGGCCATGCCTGGTGTATTGCAGCTTCATCTTTATGCATCATGAAGCAGCTATGGGTAATACGCACACAAAAGGGCATGGCTGTGTTCTAGTGAAACTTTATGAGAACAGGCAGGTGCCTCGTCATTTGGCCACAGCACGGCATGCTTTCTTCTGACCAGTCGTTCTTTTCATTTCGATCAGTTGCATAAAACTGATGTTTTCTTCGAGAACAAGCGGTATGCCGTTGCAATGCCGTCTGGGTCTGGCCTGTGTACCCGGCAGGTGCATGCCGCATTCCTTCAATTACAGAGGTAGCCGTAATTTCTAAACTAGATCTACGCCGTTCATGTCGGCATCCTTCTCTTCCGTGCGCTTGAGTACCGGGGCTCCTACAAGCGGTAGGTTTTGGTTGAGTTTTTGGACACCCCCACCCCAATAAGAAGTGCGAGGCGCACTCACAAGTAAATCTTTTGTCCCTCGTCAGCCTTGCTTTGCTTTGCTCGGTACTGCGAGAGGATATGTGTTGCATTGCAGTCACTGATGGTCACAGGATGACCCAGAATGAAAGTGGCGGGGCGTAGCTCACAGAGTTAGAAGAGTCCCTACTTCACTACGCTTCGGCTCCAGAAGGTGGAGTGCATGCAGGGACAGTCAGCAGGTGCTTTTCCAGGGGCCTTTCAGGGTTTCTGAGTCTTGTTACCTCCGCCCTTCCCAACTTTGCTCTTTTGTTCCTCGAAGCGTACTTCCCTTTTTCCACCTTGATCTATTGTGTGTGTGTGTGCGTGCACGGGTACGCTGTGCACACTTGTGGAAGTCAGAGGACACCTGACGTTGTTACTGTTGGAAGTCTCTAAGTTGATGCGAAACTATTCTTCCCTGCCCTTGCTGTGGTCCCAGCCTTATTTATCTTTCTCTGCCTCATCCGACTGTGCTGCTGAGGTCCTCAAGGGCAGAGCTGATGCCTCTCCTGGGTGCTGAGTGCCTCCTGGGTGCCCAAATGTTATTCCTATTTCACAGGGAAAGTATCCAGATGGCAGTGGGCCCATTCCTACACATCCTGGAGGGGAACTTGCTCAGAGCTGTGGACCCCACAACCCCACCCAGCAAGACCAGGTACCCAGCACAGTGAATGCTTATGCCGTGCAGAGCTTGCGGGGGGCCTCTGGCTGCAGGGAGGGACTCCGGGACTATGGGTCAAGAGCCAGGCTGTCAGTGGCTGCAGGAGAACGCTCACCAGGGTCCCCAAGCAGGTCACAACACTTTTACTTTCTTCATGCTGTGGCTCTCCTTGTATTTTCTAGTTTAATGTCTCAAAGACTGATATCACCCTGGTTAACTGGATATATGAATATTGCACTGGTTTGTAGTTTAACAGTCCAAAACAGTGATGACTTAGTTCAAGTCCCTTATTCGGTGTACGGAAGGTAGGATCGCTATACATTTGAAAATATTGGAAGCAGCTCATGGGCTTCCGTCCTCAGTTTCCCAGAGCCTGGGATCCTCGATTTGGAATATCATGTGTCCTGGGCACTTGCTCAGCAAATTGTGGTCTGGAGATGGAATCTCAGGCCCGTCTCGGACCTGCCAAGGCAGAGCCTGCATTGTCACTAGATGCCCCTTGCTGCTGAAGTACTGCTAGGGTGTGAAGAGATGGGTGGGTGGAGATAACAGGGCTGAGCACCTGCCACGCCTGTGGTGCAGGGACCTGAGTTCAGAGGCGAACAGGGTTTCTAACAGCGCTGCGTCCCTCTCTGTCCACCACACACCTGCAGCGGCACTGTATCTAGCATGCTGATGCTGCCTTGCTGATCTCCACCTTGTACCTTGAGGAAGGATCTGGTGCCAGTCTCCTAAGTTGAGAGCCAGTAACATCCTTGGTCGTCCTGAAGAGAGAAATGCTATCATCGAGCAGACACCCTAAAGGGTGGCTTGCTTATTGTTTGACTGACTGAAACTCCTAGGGAAGTGTGTTGAAGACCAGGCAGCTTAGTATTCTTTTGAAATTAATTGCAATTTCCAAACCCCACTACATGCATGTAGCCAAGGGTAGAAGAACATCAGTCATGGGTGGCCGGGCCCAGAGGAAGAAGAGAGGTAGGACCCGAGCCCCAGGTGTTGTTTCTCCTTTGAAACTCCCAGGGTGGGGGTGAGTGTGTGTGTGTGGGGTGTCCTTCTCCAGGAGACAAGAGAGTAGGAGTAGGGTCCTCCCCATCTGCTTCAGAGGGATTTTAAACCAGCTCAGACGACTGCTAGTTGCCCCTTGTTTCTGAGGCAGCTGCTGTTTCTCATTCAAAGGAGACAGGCAACGTCCTGGCCTCCTGATCTCGAAGCAAGCAATTGTGGAGAACCGTTTAACTGTTTCCTTCTTGCAGAAAGATGTACCTGTATGCCACACATGATGTCACCCTCATGCCTATCCTAATGGCCTTGGGGATTTTTGACTGCAAATGGCCTCCATTTGCTGTTGACCTGACCATGGAACTCTACCAGCACCAGAAATCTAAGGAGTGGTTTGTGCAGCTCTATTACCATGGAGAGGTAAGATCTCTGAGGTGAGGCTGGATGGTGGCTAAGCCCAACCCCGTCCTTCCGTGTGTCCTCCCCGCCACGCCTAAATTAGTGTCGTGTGTCTCAGGCCCAGTGGTGTCCCAAGTGTTGGCCTCAGCCGTCTGAATCCCATAGAGCCTAGGGCAGTAGTTGACCTGTAGCATGGCCACATCTCAGCCCTGTAACAGACTCCTTCCCCCAGGAACAGGGCGACTCTCCAGCCTTCCTGAGTGTGTCTGCCAGGCTCCTATCTGTGAGGCCCATTTTAGGAAGCCACTGAGTGTCTTCATGGCCAGTATTTTGGTGTCCTGGCTAACCCATCACTGCTGATGTCCTGGAGAAGCTGAGTACTGTCCAGGGATGGGACTGTCAGCTCTTCCAGCTCAGGGCCAGAGCTCAGCTAGGCTTTCCAGGACCTGCTGAGTTCTGTTCCTTCCACAGGAGCAAGTGCCAAGAGGCTGCCCCGACAAGCTCTGCCCACTGGACAAGTTCTTGACCGCCATGTCAGCTTATGCTTTAAGCCCAGAAAAATACCACACACTCTGCTCCCAGGCACGGACAGTGGAACTCAGAGAGTGACGTGTTTACACAGACAAGGTGACTTTTAAATAAAGTGTCTTTATAGAAAAGGGTATCATGTTAATCAAAAGGGATTTTTTTCTACTCTGTGACACAATTTCTTACTTTATGTGTATGAATGTTTTGCCTGTATGTAAGTCTGAAACCACCTGTACCTGGTGCCCCATGGAAGCCAGAAAGTGTTGGATCTCCTGGAACTAGAGTTGGAGATGGTTGTGAACTGCCATGTGATCTTCTGGAAGAACAGCCAGTGCTCTGAACTGCTGAGCAGTCTCTCCACCCGCATGACATGATTTCTAAGAGCGTTGGTGTGAGCCTGGGAACTGTGAGCTTTGGGACTTGACGCTCTTTTCTTCTGTCAGCTTTACTCAGGCTCTAATTGTGGCTATCAGAAAGGTGGCTGCTTCTGCCTTTAAGTTGTTGCAATTCATTGAGAGACAAATATCAGTAAATCAATGGCTTACAGTGCAGTGTTCTTTTGTTTTTTAAGATTTATTATGTATGCAGTGTTCTGTCTGTACACCTGCACACCAGAAGAGGGCACCAGAACTCATTACAGATGGTTGTGAGCCACCATGTGGTTGCTGGGAATTGAACTCAGGACCTCTGGAAGAGCAGCCCGTGCTCTTAACCTCTGAGCCATCTCTCCAGCCCTAGTGCAGTGTTTTTTAAGTTACGACAATGTATTATGTGCATGTTCTGAACATAGAAACAGACCTGCTCCTCCTGGTAGGGGCTACACAGACAAGCCAAGATCCTTCTCAGGAAATTCTGTCTTAGTCTAAATAAGCATGGGAATAATATAGTCAAATTCAACATTCATCAATAAATATAATACAGAACGTAAATAGACCTAAGGGCAGAAATCACGCAATCATCTCAGATACTGAAAAGCCTTCAGGCGAAGTCTGACATTCCTTCATGATTAAGGCCTCGAAGAAACTGGGACTAGAAGAAACATACCTCAGCATAATAAAGAGTGCGTATGACACATCTATAGCTAACATACAGTAAATGAGGAGACTCTGAAAAGTCAGAAATAAGACAAATGTGTCTGCTCTGTTTACTCAGTGTGGTGCTTGAAGCCTAAGCTGGAGCCATAAGGTACAGAAATTTTTTTAAGGCAGCACACAAATAGGAAAGGAAGAAGCCAGATTATTATATGCAGACAACATGGTCCTGCACTTAGCAAACCCAGTGACTCATCAGAAAACACTGAGCAAAGTAGAATACAAAGTCAACATACAGACAGCAGTAGCCTTTTTATATAACAATAACAGGAAATCAGAAAAATAGTCTCCATCACCATAGCCTCAAAAATAAAAATTACTTTAAGAGAAAACTAATCAAAGAAATGAAAACCTTGTCCTGGTTACATTTTATTGTAACCTTGGCAGAACTAAGTACCTGGAAAGGGGAGTCTGAGTTGGATTGCCCAGATCAGACAGGTCTGTGGGGAATTGTCTTGTTGCCAGTTGGTTTGGGAGGGCCCAGACTACTGTGGGTAGTGCCACCCCAAGACAGAGGGTCCTGGTTGTATAAGAAACCTGGTGGGGCAATAGCCAGGAGCAAGCCAGTAAGAAGCATCCTCCCTGGTTTCTGCTTGTGCCCCCACCTTTACGTCCCTCGGTGATAGATTGTGATCTAGAAGTATAAGATGAAATATTCCCTTTCCTTCCCAAGTCACTTTTGTCTTGGTTTATCACAGCCACAGAAAGCAAAATAGAGCAGATCTCTACAATGAAAACCTTAACATGCTGAAGAAACCAAAGACAGTAGGTGAAGGGTTTTTCAAGCTCACAAATCTGTAGTATTATTGTGAAAATGGACATACTACCAAGAGTACTTCACTGCAAACCCCACAGAATTCCAGTGACAGTCTTAACAGGAACAGAAAAGACAGCCCTAAAACTGATGTAGAAGCACAAAAGAGTCCAAGTAGCCAAAGCAATACTAAGCAAAAAGCAGTACTAAAGGTCTCATGATATCTCAAGGTAAGCCACAGAGTCATGGTGTCAAAACCAGCATGGTACTGGCACAACACCTCCATAAAACAGTGGGGTGGAATAGAAGACCCAGACAAGCCTAGGTGGCTGCAGGCACCCAATTATTGACAAAAATGCCAAAAACACCACAGGAAAGACAAAAAATAGTGCTGGAAACACTGGATATTCACAGGTAAAAGGATAAAACTAGATCTGGTGTGGGAGGTCCTTCTCTGTGTGTGTTGCTTTTCTTGGTTAATGAATAAAGAAACTCCCTTGGCCTGCTGATAAGGCAGAATTTAGGTATGTGGGGAAAACAGGACTGAATTCTGGGAGGAAGAAATTAGTCAGAGAAGCATCATGGAGCCACCACCAGAGTCAGACATGCTGGAACTTTGGTGGTAGGCCACAATCTCATGGTGATATACAGATTAATAGAAATGGGATAAATTAAGATGTGAGAGTTAGCCAATAAGAAACTAGAGCTAAGCCAGGCGGTGGTGGCGCACTCCTTTAATCCCAGCACTTGGGAGGCAGAGGCAGGCGGATCTCTGAGTTCGAGTCCAGCCTGGTCTACAAGAGCTAGTTCCAGGACAGGCTCCAAAACCACAGAGAAACCCTGTCTCGAAAAACCAAAAAAAAAAAAAAAAAAAGAAAGAAAGAAACTAGAGCTAATGGGCCAAGCAGTGATTTAATTAATAGTTTCTTTGTGGTTATTTCAGGGCTAAGCTAGCCAGGGGGCCAGGATGAACAAGCCGGCCTTCCTCCAACACTAGATCCTTATCTATCGTCTTGTACAAAAATCAGTTCAAAATGGAGCAGTGGCATTGGAGGCCTGAAACTCTGGATCTGTTAGAGAAAAACAGGAAAATAGAGACTCAAGTGGAGATTTCCTGAAAAGAACTCCGCAGCTCAAGAAGTTCAAATTGGCCAAGGGAATTGCATGAGATTTAAAAGCCTCCATACAGCAGAGGAGGCAGCGGGAGGCCATCAAACAGAATGGGGGGAAATCATCGCCAGTCTGACAGCCTCAGCACCTAGTCTGTGTAAAGAACCCAAAGGAAATTAAATAAATGTCTTACAACACACCTGACAATACTCTGTGGTGATTTAAAGGAGAATGACCCCCATAGGCTCATGTTTGGATATTTGGGCCCCAGTTTGCTGGACCTCTTTGGAAAGGATTAAGGGGTGTGGCCTTGTTGGAGGAAGTGTGTCATTGGGGATGGGCTTTGAAGTTTCAAAAGACTCCAGCCATTTCCAGCCATGTTCCTGCTCCCCACCCCCTCTCCTATTTGCAGTTTAAGATGTGAGCTCTTGGCTGTTCTTGCTGATAGACCTTTGCTCCACCATCGTGAAATCATAAACCCAAAGTGCTTTCTTTTATAAGTTGCCTCGAACATAATCTTATCACAGCGATAGAAAGGTAACTATGAACAGTTCAGCCAATAAGTGGGCATGTGCATGAACAGTAAAAGCTGTGCCCTGAAGTCTTATGAGAAAAAAGGTGCTCAACAGCCATGACCCTCATACAAAGGTGAAGACCACCTGAGACTTCATCTCATCCCTGTAAGAAAAGCTGTCGTTAGATAAACCGCCAACAGATGCTGGTGAGGATGTGGGGAAGAAACCATGTGCACTGCTGTGGGGGGCATAAGCTAGGGTAGCCCATGCGGAAATCCCAAAGACGGTCTTCTAAACACGGAAACGAGATCTGCCCCAGAATGCAGTTATACCACGGGGTGTAGTCTTGAAGCGGACCCCGGAGACACCTGTGCACCCATGTTCTCATTGACTAAGATGAAGCCGGACTAGCTCCATCATCGGAGGAAGGGATAAGAACAATGTGGGCCTGCATACACAGCCTGGTTTTATTCAGCCATCTAAAAAAAAGAAGTGGCATTTTTTGCAGGAAAATGGATCAAGCTGTAGATCATTGTATTAAACTATATAAGCCAGATTGAGAAAGATAAATGTTTTCTCACATGTGGGGCATGTGTGTGTAATATCTATATGCATATGTATTACATTTATGTATGTATATATACACACACATTACATGTTAATAGAGATCTGAAGGTAATGACGTGAAAGAAAAGAACTGTATATGAAGAGGAAAGGGGAAAGGGTAAGTAGACAACCATATGGAATGATTGGATGAAAATATCGGTGAAAACTACCGCCATAATACAATGACTACACACTAATATAAAAAGGTAGGGACACAGTCAAGTGGGAAGAGCTTCACCTTTCACAGGGTGTCCGTGTCTGCTGCTGCTGGTCCTGTTTCCTTGTCAGCATCCTGTTCCTTCCCAGAATTCATTCCAAACGTGATGATTTCAAACCACCAACTTCCCAGACAGGAAAGCCTCTGTGCTCCCTGCTGTCTGTGAGATGCGGCTCCCCTCCCACCCGGCCCTTGATGGAAGGCGCTAACACCCTCCCTCCAGTGCTAAGCAGACAGCACACATCATCCTGTGTTGTCAGTAAGGTTCTACCATGCTACCAGCCTGTTTGTGGAATTGTTTACATCTCTCCATCTTGTCTTCCATATCCTCCTGCCATCCTAACTCTGCTGCTCACTGCAAACCTTATTTCACTATGAAGCAAAACCAGCAACAACCAAAAAAAAAAAAAAAATCCACATCTCTGTATTGCGACACCCCCCTCCCTCCTTTCTTCCTGTTACTAGAACCCGAACCCTCCCTCGTCCCTCCCCAGGCCAGCCTTCCAGCTTTGCCTTTCTGCCAATGTTTTGGGTTTTTTTTTCCCCACCACGTGTTCCCATTAGCATACAAATAAGCTATAAAATCTCCTGTCTTAAAATTTCTCCCCATCATCTGGCTATGGCATTTTTCTTTCTAGCAAGGCTGTTCAAAATAGTGTCCATTTCTGATTCTTTTTACTAGGTATTCACCCCCAAGCTCCATGGAGACCACCCTTGTCAAAATCATCAGGGACCTCTCCGGCAAATCCAATAGCCAATTTTCAGTCGTCTCCCTGGGCTCATCAGCATGCCAAGAGTTTTCTGGTTCTAGGGCACGCTCTTGCTGCCTCCACTTTCTCCGCTTGTCTGTTTTTGCGGAATTCTCCCCTTCCCTGGCCTCTGAGTGTTGAAGGGTCCTGAACTTAGTTTGGGGACCTTTTTTTACTCTCCTATCCTGCACTTACCCCCAGGTAGTTCTGTAATTTTCAGTATCAACTGCTCAATGAGTCTCACTTCTTTCTACTCAGTAGTACCTCAGTTTAGGAATTAAAGGTATTTCATTGGTCTGAGACTTCCCAGGGCCCACAATCAACCATCAGCTCGGAAGCTCCTTGTCCCTCTCACCTCCCACAGGTCCCCTCCTCTAACTAAACTATCATTGACTCAGTGGCTTGGGCCACGACCTTAGGGGTCACCCTTGAGTCCCCTCTCTCTCAGCCCGTGCCCACTGCATCATCAGTGAATTCTGCTGCATCTCTCCCAGCTGTACCCAGAAGAGACCTTTCCTGAGACTTCTCTTGCTATTGTCTTAGCTCTCTCATTGCCACTGACCTGGACACCTGAAAAGGCCTCCTACCCAGTCCCGCCTCTCTGCGCTTCTTCCCCAGTCTATCCCGAGACAGCAGCTGCTTTTAGAAACAATCTCATCCTGATCCTCTTTTGCCCCAATTTCTCTGGTTCCCATCTCAAAAGAAGTGACAGTCATTGTAATGTTCTCGAGGCCCTGGGATGCCCTGCTGTCTTGCTCATTCTTCCCCCTCACCCCAATAGTAACTTTTGACTTCATTTGTAACTGAGGGATAATAATTGTCTATATTCATAAAGCAAAATAGAATGTTTGATGTTTATCTCTTATGAAATGGTTAAATTTCGTAAATAAACAGTATGGAATGATTAAATCAAGCTAATTCACGCAACCACCTCGGTCACTTTTTTGTACATGGTGAGAGCTAAAAATCTGCTCTTAGGAGAACAGAGTTGCCATGGTTCGGGTGCATTTTTCTGTCCAAATTTCATGTGGAAACTGAGTCCCTAGATAAAAGTATTGGGGCCTTTGGCCTAAAGGCAGGTGTTTGGGTCATAGCGACTCTATTTCCTCGATGAATGTGTGCACTGAGAAAGGGACTTGTGGGCCAGTTCTGTCCCCTGCTCCGTCATGTGATGACATGGTATTCCTCTTCTCAAGGGTGCACATGCCGCCATCTTAGAAGCAGAGATCCAGGCTGGCATCTTGATCTTTGCTGACCCAGCCTCTAGAATTATGTGAGATGAATCTCTTTCTTTTACCATCACCCCATTTGTGGTATCTGCCACAAAGTGCAAATAGCCTAGAAACACATTTTAATCATGGTCACCACGCTATCTGCCACAAAGTGCAAATAGCCTAGAAACACATTTTAATCATGGTCACCACGCTGTGCAGATCGCTGTGACTTATTTCCCCCTAACCGAAAGTTCATGCCCTTAGACCACCATCTTCCCCCTAACCCTTGCCCTGTCTTTCTGCTCTTAAAAATGAGTGTGTGGCAGGGAGGCAGGGAGGGGAGCAGAGAAAAATGTAGAGCTCAATAAATATCAAAATAAATAAATAATTAAAAAAAGTGTTACACTAGGAAACAGCATGAATACCAAATATACAAATATAAATTCAATAAATCATTTATAATGCCACAATTTATCAAACAAAATTCACTAATCAATTCAAGACCCTTTTTTTGTTTTGTTTTTTGAGATAAGGTTTCTCTGCGTAACAGCCCTGGCTGTGCTGGAACTCACTTTGTAGACAGGCTGTCCTTGAACTCACTGAGATCTGCCTGTCTCTGCCTCCCAAGTGCTGGGATTAAAAAAAAATGAGTGTGCCAAGAAGTCCAGAGCCTTGTCCTTACTACGGTAACTTTGTTCTCTTCCTGGAGTGTTCATCCTGACATCTAAGTTAACACAGGTTGCCTTTGCCTTCCGATCCCTGCTCATCCGTTCTGTTGGTCACTTCCTTGTAGGAAGTTGGTCACTCATTATGGGTCTTGTAAATTACTGTAGTCTACAGCCAAGTGCAGGACTTGGTAGGACTTGGACTTCTGCAAAGATGTTCTGACCGACCCTGGAAGTGAGAACTGTCTCCTTGTGTGCATGCTCCCCTGTTTACCACTAGGGGGCAGTCTGGAGCAAAGGAAAATGCCAAGGCTGTCCCTGGGTTCAAATTCTGTTTCCAAAGACTCCGTTTTCTTCCCTTCATGTAAAGACGGCAATAGTAATGTATAATTTGTATTTATTCCTCATAACTATGTCTCGGTTGTGAGGGTCGACCGAACAAGCAGAAAGGCCCCCAGATGTCTTTTCTGTATATCTCCCCGCTTCCCACTATTACATTTTTGCCAGTGAGGCTTTCCTCTCCTGAGTGCCACCAGCCCTCTGCAATCAGTACCCTCCCTGAGACAGCCCTCCCAGTGACAGCCATTCCCCAGCAGCATGCCCGAGGGTGTATTCACAACCTGACTCTCTCCCTCAGCTCTGGTGTGACTGAGGGCAAGTCCTGTAACTTCCATGAACTTGTGTTTTTCTGTCTAGGAGACGGGGGCCTCCAGACAAACATGGGAGCACAAAGGCAGGGTTAGTTTCTCGAGGCCTCTCGCCTTAGCCCATAGAGAGCAGTCTTATAGCGTGGTCCCAAGGAATCACCTC